AACAAATCATTTCAAATTTCATTGGTGGTAATATCTAGGTAATTCAATAAAATGGCATTGCTCACCAAATTCAATTGTATAGCTAAAAATATTTTCAAAATTATATGAGATTATCAAAGTTTCCAAGGTCTCAACCTTATTACATGGATTGCCAATTACAAATGTGAAAAATATCATTAGCATAGAAGCTCTGGTGATAGGCTCATTTCTTATTTATTTCAGTAAAATATAATTTGGGTGTACACTATTACACCATTATAATACTAAATATTACATCCATATTTAGTAGTCTAGGAAATATGCAATATTTATAAAACTCTACTATAATTTTAATCTATGCTTTTACAATTCTTTAGAAAATATTAATAAAAGGAATTATTTATATATCAAGAATAACTACACCAATTAATTTACTATATTCTTTTTTTTAATGTGTTAAGGGGCTGGGAAGGTGGCTCAGTGGTAGAGTGTTTGCCTTGCATGCATGAGGCCCTGGGTTTGATTCCTCAGTACCACATAAGCAGAAAAAGCCAGTAGTGGTGCTGTGTCTGAAGGGATAGAGCATTAGCCTAGAACTGAAGAGCTGAGGGACAGTGCCCAGGCCCAGAGTTCAGGCCCCACGACCGACCAAAAAAAATGTGTTAAATTAGAACATGATTGGGAACAGATTGCAAAGAGGAAAAGATCAATTTAGTAATATTAATAGAATTTATAACAGAATTTTGTTTTAATTAAAATTTCAAATTTGACAAATCTTTACTGGCATTACAAATCATATTTATAATTTATATCAATTATTCACACTGATGTTTAAGAGATCCAAAATATTTGTCTAAACTATCATTCAATTATTGTTCTCTAATAAACCATATACTAAGATAGGTGAGATTCAATCGTGTTTTCCCCCTTGATATATTCTATACTATATGCTAATCTCAGTGGCTCATTGGTTAAATCATAGACTCATATAAACATCCAAAACTCTGATCCACACATAGATTAATTTTATATACTGACACTGATAACTTGACTTTAAAAACCTTGCCATTTTACAATTATTATAGAAATGAAACTATGAATATTTAAAAACACAATGCCAGATTGTCCAAATCTTTTTTTGCAGTTGCAACATGCACACACACACACACACACACACACACACACACACACAGAGGCTACATTAATTTGGCTACAATTTTCAAGAGGTATATGGAAATATAATGACATGCTACATGTATTATCAAACACATTCTTAGGGAAAAAATGAAGTTTACTCTTGTCATTAGCATAGATTTCAGCGCCAATATTGGAAATTTTCTGCTACTTACAAAAGTGAATTACTTCTAAATTTACAAAAAAAATCATAATCTAAACAAATGATACTAAAGAATTTCTAGATGAAGTCTAGTTAAAATTCTTTTGAAACTATGTATTAAACCAAAACAGATACATCTTGATACATATTAACTACTGAAACTTATATACAATGCTTTTCATTCAAGTAGCTCTTAATCCTATGTCATTTTTAAAATTTTAAACTTCTTGTCCCTTAAGATAATAATTTAAATCTAGTCTAGTTTTCAATTTCATTAAATCCTGTTGTTAAGGTGCCGTCTCTAGACCATTAGTTAGTATCAATATCACTTAGAAAATTATTAGGAATGCAAAAATCTAGGCTCCTCTCTACTTTCACTGATTTTGATACACATCTGGATACAGAGCCCAAGGACCTGCATTTTCAACATCCTCCAAATACATACAGATGTGTATATACAGATGGTCAGAGTCATTGCTCTGTATTGACACTTTCCATTCCATTGGCCACTCCATTATTTGGGCTCCTCATGTTGGTCATCCAGACAACTGTGTTGGTACCTAAGCTGTGTTCCTACTTCTTATCATTATTCGGTTTAATTGCCTCCTCCCATACCCCACTGAATTGGTCTTAAACAGCAAATAACAAAATCATGATGTAATACTTGCCTACTAAGGGCAAATCACTTGTGGCTCTTATGACCTTTTCACATTGTGTCTAAACATCGTTTTTGTTGTTGTTGTTTGTCATGGGGCTTGAACTCTGGGCCAGCACACTGTCCCTCAGCTCTTCAGCTCAAGGCTAGCACTGTACCACTTGAGCCACAGCACCACTTCTGGCTTTTTCTGTTTATTTGGTGCTGAGGAATCACACCCAGGGCCTCAAGCATGCAAGGCAAGCACTCTACCACTGAGCCACCTTCCCAGCCTGGTGTCTTTTAACATCTTTAATCTTAGCATCCACAACTAAACTTTATTCCCCATTCCTTCTAGTCTAAACTTACGCTAAACTTACACTGCATGAATTACACTATGCTTAACTCTTGAAATTTTTCATAAGAATTATTTCTTATTTTTCATAAGAAGTATTACTTTATGTTACTGGAGTAGCTGCCAAATTAATTTACCATGCAAACATCTCTCAACCGGGTATCCATGAATATATCCTGATTCAAAATTAAATAGCTACTTAAATCTATTATTAATTTTCAGCAACAGAGTTCCCACAACACCAAATACTGTGATTTTAAAATAGTATATGTTTGGTGGGAATTCATTGAACCCTGCAAATGTCTTTTGATAAATGAGCTTGATTTTGAGCTCACAGGCTACCCCTAATACTTTTAGCCTTTCCAGGATATTTATACTCTATAAGGAAAATCACATATAACCAACTAACAGAAGATGACTGAACAGTAACATTTAAAATTAGCAAGGATTTATGAACTAAATGAACTTAGAAATTTAACACCATACCTTACAGATATAACTAGCACCTCCTGAATTTAGTCTTATGAAGCAAAAAGATAAAGAGGACAAAATATCATCCCAATTAGTTACTCCTCTATTTTCCATTCTATACGTTGTATTTTGAATAACCCTTTGAGAGGAATGAGGGCAATTTTCATTAAAAAATATTAATCCAATATAACTGCCCTATTTTACAAGCACTGAACTAGTTATACAGACAAATCACATAATTTCTTCATTACTGACAGTTAAAAATTTAGAGTTCAATCATTTAAGTCCATTGTTCTCTGCTAGACATGTAACATTTGAACATCTTTGAAATGATTAGTGTAATTATTTGGTTTTGTGCTTATAAAAGGCAATTTACATCTTGGTATCATTGTGCACTAACACAATGAAGACCACTATCATTCACTAATGCAAGGGAAAATAAGAAAATACCCTTTATATCTGTGGGGTTTCTTTATTGTTCTGATGGTAAAATACAATATTCTTTTCAGGGCCAAAATATAAGTTCATTATTGGTCTGAGTCATGTTGGCCAATTCAGAGAAAAAATTGAATACTTTGAATATAGATATACTTTGTTAATTGATATGGAATTCAAAATTAATTTGAAGTGCATTGGGTGATTCACATAATGGAAAATAACGAACAAGCTCTTACAACTTGTCTGTGGTGGTGGTTGCGTTCTCTGCATTTTTATTCACCCCCATTTACCAATATAGTATAATTGTCTCAATCTTAACATCTCAAAATAACAGCATGTTTTCTCTTAAGGACTTTATAGCTTAGTATTTTATTATAATGGTACATAGCTAATGATGATAGAAAGGATATAAAACCTAGTTATAAATCAGTATTTTTCGATGATTGAGGTGAACGTTTCTTGGTTATTTATGTATTACCTAAGTCATTGTTTTCTAAATACTAGAGTCAAATTTTGAAGAAAACTACAAACTGAAAACAAAATTTCAGAGCCTGTCAAATTAATTATTGAAAGATATAAAAACAATGTCTGTGCTTTGGAAAGCTGAATTTCGAGGGTAACTATGTTTTAAGTTCATAAAATATTAGAGCTCCTTGCATCAGAATTATATATTGTGAAACATCTTTGTGTGTGTGTATGTGTAGTTCAATGGAAAAACCCAAGAAATTGTAGTATATGTGAAACTATGATACTTGGTGACCATGCTAAGAAAATAATTTTTGAACATACTCCTTTTTCCTCAGAATACTTACCTGTCATTTTAAATCATATTTTCTCATATATATTTCAATAATATTTTTGTCATTTAAGATGACTTTAATTAATACATGCCTATATACATATTTCTTTTAGATATACTTTTATAATTAAAAGCTTATCACATATCATATTGACAATTATGTCCAAATTACACTATATAAAGTTAAGAGTATTTCTTGCATTTTTAACATTCATTTTAGAGTTGAAATTCTATAATAGTGCATTTATGAATTGTTGTGATATACGATCCTGGATTGGTTACATATTTTTAAATATAAAGGCTATCATGCAAAAGTACTATACCCTCTGGTTCTTCATTAAGTAGAATAAATAAAAATACTCATATGAAATTACAAAAATTAGGATATATAAGCCTTGCAATTATTTATTCTCATGAACTAATTGTTTTTGTCACAGTGTCTTCAACTAGCACAAGCAACATGTATATATACATGTATATATACATACATATATGTATATATATTATACACATGTGCACACAAGAAAAGAAGTATAAACACCTCCTATCATGCAGAAGATGTACAAGGCCTCATTTTGGATATTCAATCTACATTACACACAAGCAATATTATCATTAGTAAAATATATCAGTAGTGCTTTTTTAGATAGATTTTTTTGTGCTTTTTTGTATGCAGCATGCTATTTGGTACTTTGTTGTGTTGTAGGTGACTCCCAAAACACATATGTAAACCAGTGCAGAATGCAGTTCTAGAACATTGTTGGCAGGTAAAAAAACAAGTGAGAGATCAAGACACACAGAGAGGAAAAGAACAAGATCAACTTGTCTCCCAGGATAGTCAGTTGTAAAATTTTTTAAAATACATTTTGGCCTTCATTTTCCTTTTGAAAACCTTGCTGTGGGGGTTGCGTGGCCCTTTCAGAGCACTGCGCAACCTTCGCAAGAGATCATTTAGCACTAGTTTCCACCTTGGAGTAGATCTTCCTACCTTTCCAGTCTTAATTCTGTGAGAAATGGCTGCAAATCGATGGTTGAGCTCTGAGATTTTGGGCTCTACAATTTTCCTGCAATGGTCACCGCGGTTTGCCATCAAGTTCGCTGCTTGGTCACGTGTGGAGTCCACCTTTGGGCGTATGTCATTCATTTCTGCCTTTAAACGCTATATTCCATGAGCAAGAAACAGGGCTTGAAGTTAGTAATGGAAGTTGAGAGAGAGAGAGAAAGAGAGAGAGAAAGAGAGAGAGAGAGAGAAAAGGGGAGGTTGGGGAGAGAGGGAGGGAGGGAGGGAAGGGAGGAAGAAAGGAAGAAAGAAAGGAAAGAGGGAGGAATGAGAAGAGGGACTGAGCAAGGGAGGAAAAGAGGGATGCAGAGATATGGAGAAAAAGAGAAATATACATGCAGAAGAACTGAAAGGGAAAAATAACACCAAATTCAATGTAATAGAAGTGAATGAAAATATGTGTGATCTTAGAATAATAAGTCATTATCCATGATTAAATTTGATTCCTTTATTTAGACTATTTCATCCTAAGAAGACTGAAAACACATTCCCTGACCTCTATATTGTCTGTAAAAATCATAAATTTATATTTAGTCCCATTTTATTTTTACTGAATTTAATACTGTATAACAATCTATACTTGTGTTCAGGAGGAAAGGTAGCTTAAATATACTTTTAAAGATTTCTTTCTTGTGCATTTTTAGCTCCTCTTTGTTTAGTATATTAAATGTCATGGAAACATTGCCTTAATAATAGATTTGGATTTTTTTACATGCGGAGTTATTAGGAAATTGAAGGAATTTCACCATAAAATGGCATCGTTGATTTCACATATCAAGAGACAATGAAAAACAACACAATGTAAGTAGAATCCAGATAGATGGAATATATGTTTTAGAGCTAGCTTTAAAATAAATTTAGGGCTTTCTCATAGAAGACAAATGATAATATGTGAAATATCCAGGCAAAAAAAGAACATGAGAGCTGAGCATAGAGATGTACTCTTACAATTCAGATCTCAGGAGGCTGATCTAGACGGATTGGGAGTCCAAGGCCCACCTGCCTAAGTAATGAGTTCAGAGCTAGCATGGATTAAATGGCAAGATCTTAAGTCAAAAAAATAAGAAAAAAATGTTTAACAGGAAAATCAAAGAGGAAATGAATTTTAAGTATAGAAAAATATAATTATGAGTATTTTGAGAAAAATATTGCTCCCATATTTCTGACAAATTCAGAACAAATAAAGCATCATTAATTTAAATTAAATTGAAATTTAAAATTCCAACACTTTCTATTTAATTGAGCAAGAAAATGTAACTAAATAGAAACATGTAATATTAAGACACACTTGCATATGATACTTTACACTTACTCTTTTAGGAACCATTTCGAAAGTAAATGCTAAATAATTATTTCAAAAGGAGTACCTGAACCTATAAGTATCCCTTATTCAAAATACTAAGGAGCGAAATGTTTTTGAGTTTTTACTCTTAGATTTTGAAATATTTGCTTATACATGATATGAGGGATAGCATTCAAACCTAAACATATAGTGCATTATACACCTATATATTTCATATAGTTATATGAAACAAGAAGCCAATTTTTTAATAATATATCTATTTTTTTCATGGGGCCTGAACTCTGGGCTTGGGTGCTGTCCCTCAGCTCTTCAGCTCAATGCTAGAGGTCTACCACTTGAGCCACAGTGCCACTTCTAGCTTTTTCTGCTTATGTGGTGCTGAGGAATTGAACCCAATACCTCATGCGTGCAAGGCAAGCACTCCAGCACTGAGCCACATTCCCAGCCCTTAAATAATTTTGTAAAACTATTTTCTGCTTGAAATAAATCTTCCTGAAATTTGGTTTTCCTCATGTGGCATCATATTAACATTGCATTGTAAAGTTTTATATTTTGTACCACTTTACATTTTGAATTTGTTGGATCAGTAATATTCAATCTATTTTAAGATTGGTATATGAAATAGGCAAAATATCCAAATGCCTGAATTTCAGACGGACTTTATAAATGATGGCATAAAACTACTCTCTATGCTAGATGTAAGAGTATTTGATTCCATCAAAATAGGTAGGACACTGAAGCAAGATACCAAAGCAAATCCCAGATTACCTTTCTCATCAGTGTTTAAGTGTGATCAGCTGAGAAATCTTCAGTGTCATTAATGTCTACTGAAAAGAGGAAAGAAGGTGGGAAATAAAGACAGAAAAAAAGATAGAAAATAATAACAAAAGGATGGAAAAAAGAGAGAAGGAAGGAAGGAAGGAAGGAAGAAAGGAACGAAGGAAGAATGGGAGGGAGGGAGGGCAGGAGGGAGGGGGGAGGGAGGGAAGAAGGAAGTGAAGGAGAGAAAGAAGGAAGGGTTTGGCTATTTCATTTCTATTAAGAAGTCCTTTGTAACTTCTGGGACAAACATGATTGACATAATTGTGTACAGGTTGAAAATTACATTTTACAATATTTCATATGCTACCTTAAGAATGTCTTCTTTTTGCTGTGATTTCTTTTTCTCAGATTCATCCAAAAGTGTATCAGCCTGAATGATCCACTTTGTGATGTAATCCACATTTTGGTCAAAGGTTTCCATGTGTTTCTGGTATTCCTTAATTATATAAAGACATATTATCACATTATTGTTATGTAATCCACATTTTGGTCAAAGGTTTCCATGTGTTTCTGGTATTCCTTAATTATATAAAGACATATTATAACATTATTGTTTTGGAAATATTTTAAAAGATTTTTCCTGCTTTCTAGAATTCTAAAAAGGCAAAAACAGAGTACACTTTTATCCCTTTTAATTGAGATGTCCTTATAGAATATAGCATATATAAGACATAGTTACAGTATCTACAGATACAGAAGGAGCAGCATATATATGAACTGTAGGTATTTTCAAGTAAAAATATGGACAAATATGTTATGCAACTTATGATAGAAATTGATAGAAGAGTTTCAAGTCTCTTCACTTACCAATAAAAGGTTTAACCATTCTTCTGCTCGGGAGGTGACAGCTATCCAGTTACTATTCAGAAGACTGAGTTTATCTTCCACCAAGGTCTCCTTCTTGCCCAACACTGATTTCAAAGCTTCTCCTAGCTCTGTGACACTTTTCAAGTGAGCTTTCTGTTTCTCAATTTCTTTCTGTGTAGCCTGGAAGCAGGATAGCATTGAGCATCAGGTAGTGTATTGCAGTCTTACATTTTAATGCTTGTATATATTGAATAGTAGGCCCTGTCTGATGTATTGCTAGTAAAGATCTTTTCCCACTTGGTTGTCTGTCTTTCTTATTTAGTGACTATGTCCTTAGCTGTACAGAAACTTTTTTTTATGATCCCACTTGAGTCTCTCTCCTAACTTTTGTGCTCCTGGAATTCAAAAAACTAACTTCCCCATACCTAATAAACCAATCACTAAACAGGGAATGTTGCAAAGGGTTGACTTCTCAGAAGAGGTAAGAATGGCAAAGGCATACATGAGGAAATGCACATCATCCCTGGCCATAGAGGAAATAAAAATGAAAACAACACTTGAGATTCCATCTCATCCCAGTAAGATTGGCCAACATTGTGAATTTGAACAACAAATGCGGCAGGGATGTGGGGAAAAAGGAACCCTATTGCACTGTTAGTGGGAATGTAAACTAATATAACCACTCTGGAGAACAGTCTGGAGGCTCCTCAAACACACTCACACACACACACAAACTAAACAACATCAGGACTGAGAAGAATGCTTGCCTTGCACGCATGAGGCCCTGGGTTCGATTTCTCAGCACCACATAAACAGAAAAAGCCGGAAGTGGCACTGTAGCTCAAGTGGTAGAGTGCTAGCCTTGAGCTGAAGAGTTGAGTGACAGCGCCCAGGCCCAGAGTTCAGGCCCCATGACCGGCCAAAAAAATAAATAAATAAACATAGGCCTTCCCTACAACCCAACCATACTACTCCTGTGTATCTACTCTGAACATCTTGAGCCAGGATATGATAAGGACACCTGTACGTCCATGTTCATTTCCACACTATTCACAAAAGCCAAAGTATGGAAACAACCTAGATGTCCCAAAATAGATGAATGGATCCAAAAAATGTGGTACCTATATACAGTAGAATTTTACACAGCCATTAGAAGAATATATTAATTTCAATTTCAGGGAAATGGATAGAATTAGGACAAATCATGTTAAGTGAGGTAAGCCAAGCTCAGAGAGACAAACTGTGCATTTCTTCTCTGATAATGTGTTACTTGGATCTAAAGCACACTATATGACAAATTCCACTGAATTCTAGATACTCATAGACAGTGAGACCAAAAGAGGATAGTTTTAGGAGAGAATCACAAAGGCTCAATACCCAAGTGCCTCTTCATATGTTAATAAAATAATTTCCATATTGAAGTGAACTCCAAAGACGTGGAAACAAAGGACATTTTTATTTTAGTTTCTGATGATTTTGTGTTCCTTATCTTATATATGGTATATTCACATGTATATCTATGTGAGGGTGGAGGGAGGGTTCAGTACTGGAGGGAAAAAGGATGAAGATTACAACAGTGGAGCTCACTGGACACTGGCGAAAGTGAACTAGACAATTGATGGGTAGATACGGGAAGGTGGGACTGCGGGAGAATGAGGGAACAGAAGACACTGTACAAAAGGAAATATTCATTACCTAACTCATGTAAATGTATATCACCTCTATAATAAAAATAAAGTAAAAATAATGCTTGGGGAAGAGCTGTGTATGTCGACTCTATACAGAGACTTTGTAAGTTTTTTAACTTATAGTCATATGTTTCTGGACTATGAAATCATACCAGATATGCCGCAATGTCATTGCTGATATATATCAGTATACACTTTGTATATAGACATGATTAATTTTTTAGTATTTCATGACTATATGTACTAAATATATTACACAAAGAAAATATGTATATGTATGCATATATATAATATATATGTTATATATACATATATTAATTTTTACATGTAGTATCTTAAGGCAGATATCTGAGGGTTATTCCACAAAGCCTTCACGAAAGAGATTAAATTTGTGTGTGATTTTATTTCTCTACAAGGATATTCAGATTTTTAGTGCCATGAACCTATGAAATTTGGTTGGCTTCAGGACCCTTTCTTATATTAGTCCTGATAAAAATCACAAAAGAAAGAAGATTTTAAATGAAACCAACTTTGCTAAAGTACATTGTACATTTTTGAAATTATGGTATTGTAATGTATTTTTTCTTAACATGTTAACTAACTAACATCTAATTTTGAACTAGGGAAATTTGAATGCAATAATATACCTGTTATTTTTAATTGTATTAAATGACTAATATAGAATATAAAAGATCTGCTATTTCTATGGGTGATAAAGTCACAGGTACTGCTATTGTTGAAGTTTATTGCTTATATTCATAATTAAAAATATTTAATTTCAGTCACCAGTGGGAAAAAAGAAATTTATTTTTTTTCAATGAAATTTCACAGATCTTAATTCTATCTTCACATCTAGGTTTTTCAAAAATCTGGGTTGTTAAATGTAGGCCTTAAAACTAAATTTTGTTTCTAACATATTTATAAGATGATTTCTTTGTTGCTTTGTATGTCCCTCTCCCACAGTATAACCCCTGTTTTCACTGTATTTCATGTTGGTATAATTTGGGGAGGGATACAAGTGGACCCAACAATGAGATGTACAAGACATTATGTGGAAACTTTACAACTTTGGCAGGGAGAGGGGGAGGGGCAAGGGGATGGGAAGGGATGGGAACGGGAAACAAAGGAGGAGTAATGTACTATTACCGTGCTCTTTTATTTGTAACCCCTCTGTATGGTATTTTCATAATAATAATAATAATAATACCACTGCCATTTTTAGACTTACTTTTTAAAGTCATGAAAATAATGACATTTAATAAGGCCATATATAGAGTTGGGAAAACAGCATAGTACAAATGTTTCCTGCCTTCACTTTCTTGCGTGAATGACTATGTGACCATTTTGTGCTTCCCTGCCTCTATTCCCTGTTCTTTCTTTCCTGCCTTGACAACCAGTTATTGGATATTAACTGGAGTTGAGCCAGTGCCCAGAAGATTCTTTCTTAAATATGTTAACTGAGAGACACAGAGTACAACGAGAACATGAGCTGAAAAGCCATCTGCAAATAGAGCAGATGTTTCTATCACAGAAAGTCAAAGTCAAACCAAGAAAAAAATCACTGAGGAGCAGCATTTAAAGCAGAAAAAGTCAACCTTCAGAGTCCAAAGTGAACAGAGGGGATCCAAGCAAAAGAAAAGAAGGTGTCTCTGTGAGACAATCCCAAATTTCATGAGTTCAGATGCTCTCAATGTGGATTTCTCTATCTTTATAATATATCAAGATAGTCATTCTAGCGGTCCTTTTTCCATATCTTTAGGTCCTGTTCCACAGCTAATCAATGAGTAATTTTGTTCTTCCTTGGGACATCAACTCAGCAGTGCAAATAAATGAGATTAAAATTATTGTACAAACAATATTTGTATCTAAGGAAGACTCACATTTTAAAATTATGTTATATCCTTTCATACATGTATTTTGTGTAAGATGTATAAGATGAAATTGAGGTAATTAATGCTATATCTGCTGTTGCACAGAGGATCATTTGTAATGTAGGTGGTATTTGATATATGTGAACATTTCATAAAGTTGCTCATATATGAATCATAAATATTTATGATAATCCAACTACATGTTACTTATAATTGTAGAAGGAGCTGCAGGTTTTATTATTTAAAGTCTTTTGAAATAGTATCCTAGTTGAGTGGACAGAGCCCCTTTAGAACCTGACTTATAAGTAGAATAGATTTTTGCCCTTATAATCTTTTTTCTCTACCCAATGGAAATATATTACCTATGCATCTACAAGTATCAGGATATTTTTCTAATCACATTAGGCAAAAGAAGAGCAGCAGAAAAGTCTCGATCTTTCGAATGTATATTCAAGAATGTGTTGGTCAAATAAATACATGCAAAATCCATTATCTACTCAGTAAATTCAGAGTAATGATTTATCACTTTTTGTCAATCTAGAAGGAAAGTTAATACCCCATAAAGTTAAATGCCAACTTATATTGTATCATTATCTTACATATCATTATCTTACATTTTCATGGTTCATAATTGTTCATGGTCAAAAGTGATTTACAAATTTCCATTCTCAGATGCAGATAGGTAACTAAAAATATTTTTACTCATTTTCTATCCTTATTCATTCCCCTTTAAGGAAGCTAAAGTCATTACTTTTGTTGGTTAGATTGGAAGAAACAACTGAAAATTCATGGTATTTCCATTTCTTAACAGGAATAGAATACTAGGGCCTACTTACATAGCTTATTCTTTTGCCATGTTGTGTAAGTAGTAAAGTTGTAACAGATCTGTAGTTCTAAAGGAGAATGCCCCAAATCAATAACATCCTTGACTAAATTAAAACCTGGGCCTTTTAGTTTTTTCTCATGTGGTCACGTTTCATTCCTTAGGGTTCATTTGAAGATGGTAGACAGGCAATGTAGGTACTATATGTTATTTTGATTTATGAGTTTGCTATCAGTCCACTTATGAACACTCAAAAAGCAGCTAAATGTGAATGATGCACCTGATACTGAGGATTTATATTACATAGGAAAATGTCAGACATGAGTAGGATACAATTTCAATAGAAAGTGCTACAAACTCTAATATATCTTTGTTTTCCATGTGTTTTATTTATAATAGCTGCTAGGTCCAGAATAAATATTACAAATATTCATCATTACCTTTCAGAATTTTAAATGATCAAATTTTAAATGATCAAATTTTAAATGATCAAATTTTAAATGATCAAATTTTCAGTCCTAGCTATGATGATTTTAAAGGCTGAAAACACCTTTTGATTTTCTCATATCTACTGGATTATTGAAATTTCAGTATTCAATTTAATTATCATATTAGACTTAAATTTCAACTCTCAGCTTATCATTTATGTAGTCGCAGAAGGGGAATGGGAATATCTACTCTGTTAGTGTCTTCTGGTTTTCTCAAGGTTTATTAATATTTATAATACAAAAGTATTGAAATAACTCTCTGATCCCATAGAAACACATATATGTTATTTTCTTCAAGGGGTAGATGAAA